TGGAGAGTTGAACGTAAAAAAAAAAAAAAAAAAAAAAAAAAAGAAAAGAAAAAGAAAAGTGCGAGCCAACGATCCGGCGGTGGCGTTGGAGAGAAACGTGGGAAAAAAAATCGGCAAAATCCTATCGCTGTATAAATAAGTATCTCGTACGTGGCACGACTCACTAACTAACTCTAATATGCGAAATTTCCTCGAAAACCGAGAACATGCCGAGAAATTATCATTCGACCAATCGCCCTGATGATGAGGAGATTCATTCAACGACTCGTCCGAGACGAGTGTGGTATACGATCATCAAACTCGAATCTTTCTTCTTCATCTTGTCTCTCTCGTCGTCTAATCGTCGATGCGCCTATCGACTACTCGATCGTCCGCTCGGTGAAATCGCTCGCTCGGATCGAGAAAACTCCTAGCTCCTTAATTAATAACAATCTCGAAAACAATTTTCCTCGAGAAATCGGCGCGAAATTCAAGGTTTCAAGGTTTCGCCGCGGGCCCTCCCGAGAATGATTCGCGGCGTCCCGCTCTTCTTTTCTATCCGATTCGCGGTTGCTGTTGCTCCTGTTGTTGTTGTTGTTGTTGTTGTTGCTGTTGCTGTTGTTGCTGAGAGGTAACTCTGTCCGAGTGCTCTCTCTGCTCTCTCTCCCGTTCGCGCATCTGTTCCATCTCCTTCCGTTGCTGCTCGTTCTTGCTGTGTTGGCGATGATAGATGCTCTTGTGGTTCCGCAGGCTGTTCAGGCTCGAGTAAACCCGCTTGCAGATGTTACAGATCGGTTCCTTGCTGGGCCTGGTGTGCACGTTCTGTATGTGCCGCCTCAACCGCGTTAGGGAGGTCAGGATTTTGTTGCAAGGCTCGCATCGAAACTCATCGGTCGCGCCGCTGCCAGCCAACGGACCTGGCGGCAGAACCAGACACAGGGGTTACTTTTTTGGGGTTTTTTCGCCCGAACCGTCGGACACGTAACGTCGGGCACGTACGTAGGAGGTTAACGTAGGAGGAATCACGGGGGGTGTGATGATCCCGCTCCCTAGACAGTCCTCTCCCGCGTGTATCCCCGCGATCCTCCCCATCACTTCTCACTCTTACACCACCATCTACCACCTTTTTTATTTTTTTTTTTCCGAGCCGAGAGAGAGAGAGAGAGAGAGAGAGAGAGAATATCGTGCGCC